TAGAGTAAAAATTAGCAGAATCAAAGTAGTTGAACAATATGACATTTATGAATCAGTAAAAACAAACAGAGACTCTCTTCTCCTTATTTGAGAAGCCATTATTAGAACTTATTATAAAAAGTTCAACTCACAATCTGTAGGAGGAGTGAATCATGTTGTATTGTATGTATACATGGCTTCTAGTTAACATGAACAAATACGCCGAAAGTTAAGTTGATAATTAGACCAGCGGCTCCTTGTACAATGTTCACAAAGGTAAGGGGAGAACGTAAGATTCCGGTGGGAGGGAAAACATTGCAAGTGGCGATGGGGAGTTTCACAATGCATAAGATAGTTGATAAATCTCATACTTATGCATTGTTTATAAATTGTTCATTTAATTTCAACAATTAAAAACATTTTTAATATGAAATTTTAAATAAATTCAAATTGCTTATAAATTTTTTATTCATATTTTAATGAGAACGATAAATTTAACATAATATATACTATTATGAATAATTGGACCTTTTTTTTTATAGCAATTTATAAAATAAAAAAGAAAACAAAACTTATTTGTTAATTTTGAAATTTCAAATACAACTATTATTAATTTTCAAAAGAAAATAGAACTTGATGATCATTTTTTCATTCTGATTTATGGTGCTTTGAAGAGAACATTGGTCAAAAAAAAAAAGAGAACATTGGTCAAAAGTTCATTCCAAAGTGGGTATAAAAGGTAAAATCTTATTTGATGATAAGGACGCGTTGGAAAAAGTTGTCGGTGCTAAAAACAAGTTGCCGAAAAATTGGCCAAAAAAATCGCTGGCGACCGGTGACAGTAGGTGGTGGTGGTGTGTAAAGAAATGTGTGATATTCAATAGATATGTTATTGAATGAGTAATATGTGTCATATTTTAACAGATAGTTAGCTTCGTGAATTTTGATAGGTACATAGATATGTTGATTTCAACAGATAGGTTGATTTCAATATATAGGTAGACAAGTTGATTTTAATAGGTAGTTTTCTTTTTTAACAAATTGTGTCCTTTTGACCTAAAAAGATTAGAGTTTGGACCTAATGACTCAAAAGATTTAAAATTTTATTTATGGCTCGAGTGCCGTTTATTTAATATGATATTATAATTTTTACAATTAAGAAACATAATTCTACTTAGATTACATAGTAAATCCTAGGATTTGACTCTTATAATAAAATAAATTCAAAATTTTTAAATTTATGAATTTAAACCTTAATATTTTGATTTATTTTTAATCTAAATAATTTTCCTATTTTCAATCTAATTGAGCATTTTAGATATTTTATCTATACCAACATTGAGTTTAATAACTAAAAGTTTAATGTTGATATTTTATCTATACCAACATTGAGTATTTTAGATATTTTATCAATATGTTGATTATCTATATGTGCATCTAAAAGTTTTAAAAATTTAATTCAAATATGAAAATTTTACTAAAGAGAAAAAATAAGGAAAAAAAACTCAAATCTCAGGGCTGTCCACTTAACCCAATAGCTATAAGTTATTAAATTTTTTAATTTTTTTTCTTTAATGGATATTAAATTGTTTAGATTTTTTTTTTTTACTTATTATTTGAATTTACAATGTTAACCAAATTCAATGGTAAAAGAATTATAATTTTAACAAATGCTTTAATTTAGACCCTAAAAAGAAGTATATATATAATTTTAGTATATTTTGTTTACTATATTTTGTAAATGAGCGGGCTATCGGGATGATGCTATCCGTACCTTGTACTAACTTTTTATATCAATTAAATTATTTCTTTGCATAATCAAAAATAAATAAATTATACTAATTGTGCAATATAACTGTGGAATAATTTTATACTGCAAAAACTAAATAAATAAAAATAAATAAAAAGAAAAAAGAAAATTAACTCAAAAAAAATAATGAAAATGTGCCATTTTCTTAATAATTTTTTTTTTCCCTCTCAAATTTCTTAACAAATATTTTAATTTTTAGGTTATCTATATGTGCATCTAAAAGTTTTAAAAATTTAATTAAAATATGAAAAATTTACTCAAGAGAAAAAATAAGGAAAAAAATACTCAAATCTCAAGGCGGTCCACTTAACTCAATAGCTATGAGTTATTAAAATTTTTAATTTTTTTTCTTTAATGGATATTAAATTGTTTAGATTTTTTTTTTTTTTTACTTATTATTTGAATTTAGAATGTTAACCAAATTCAATGGTAAAAGAATTATAATTTTAACAAATGCTTTAATTTAGACCCTAAAAAGATGTATATATATAATTTTTGTATGTTTTATTTACTATATTTTATAAATGAGTGGGCTATCGCGATGATGCTACCCCTACCTTGTACTAACTTTTTATATCAATTAAATTATTTCTTTGCATAATCAAAAATAAATAAATTATACTAATTGTGCAATATAATTGTGGAATAATTTTATAGTGCAAAAACTAAATAAATAAAAATAAATAGAAAAATTGCCAACATTGAATATTATATTTTTAGATAATAATTTAATTACAAAAAAGATAAACAAGTTGCCTAAAATAATTAGAATTCGAAATACATGTTTTCTTAAATTGTGTAATCTCACAATCGTACGATACCACATTGGTTGAATTGTTGGAACTCCTACATCTTGAAAACGCTTTCCTTTAAAGAATAGAACACTAGTCTAATTTTGTGATAGCTTCTGTGAAACCATAATTAATGCAGAGAAAGTAGAGTAAAAATTTGCAGAATCAAAGTAGTCGAACGATATCACATCTATTAATAAGTAAAAACAAATAGAGACTCTCTTCTCCTTATGTCAGAAGCCATTATTACAACTTATTATGAAGGAAAATGAGTCAGAGTACTAATTAGTGCTACCACTAATGATGTGGCAGTGGGTCTCACCATGAATGATTTGATGTTTTGGCCTTGGTGTTGTATTTTTTTTCTTTTTTTATTGAGTGCCACGTCATTAATGGTCTTTTTAGAGCTCTAAAATTAGTGGTCTCTATCATTGTTGTATTATAAAACGGAACTGCTACGTAGCTCAAAATTGTCGAGCTTGAAATTGGCTCGACTCCAAAACGACGTTGTTTTGGAGAATTTTTTTTTTTCATTCATTCTCGTTTTTTTGATCATCTTCAGCTGGGTTCATCTATTATCAATTTGGATGATTTATTATTCAAAAACACAGAGATCATCTATTAAAAAACACAGAGACCTGGGTTCATCTTCAGCTGGGTTCATCTTCATCCACATATGAATTTGTGTTGTTCTGTGTGGACAGATATGTGGACAGAACAACACAGAACAACCCAGCTGATATTAAATTCATATGTGGACAGAACAGAGTTCAACCGATCTTCATCTTCATCATTTTTTTTTTCGTTGTTTTTCTGCAGATCTTGTTCATCATCTTCATCATCATTATCATCTTCATCAACAAAAAAAAAAAAAAAAATCACCCTCTATCTTCGACAAAAAATAGATCTTCTTGAATAAGATCGAAGATATCACAGATCTGGCAAAACTTCTGCAGATTTCGTTGAACATCGAAGATATCACAGATCTTGTTTTTTTTGTTGAAGATCGAAGATGAAGATGATCGAAGATCGATGATGAAGATCGAAGATGATCGAAGATATCACCGCCGATCATCGACCGCCATCACCGCGCCATCATCGACAGCCATCACCGATCTTCCTTCTCCTCTCTCTTCCTCTTCTCTTCTTTCTATCTTTGCTTCCTCTTCTCTTCTCTCTTCTCTCTCTCCTCTCTCTCTCTCTTACCTCTGTCTGTTATTGAAAAGCAAGGCAACTGTTATTGAAAAGCAAGGGAAAAGCAATGGAAGGAAAAGAATTAAAAAATAATAATAATTTCATGCCAGTTTTTGAGCCTAAGTATTCGAGTTATGGGTCATTTCCGATTATAAAAAGTTCAACTCACAATTGCTAGGAGGAGTGAACCATGTTGTATTGTATGTAGGTTCTGAAAAGCGGTTGCGATCGCTATAACGGTGGCGGTGGCGCGGTTGTGATTACGGGATGTAAAGGCTGTAGCGTAACGGTCGCATTAACCGGAATCGTGATTTTTTTTTAATTTTTCACACAATTTAAAAAAAACTTACCGATACGCATATTTTTTTTCCATGATCATATTTATTGGATTTAAAATAAATGTTGATCAATTTTTGTAAATTTTTAAGTATGATCCAATATATTTTATATTTTTAAATCACTACAAACTGAGTTCTTTACTTAAAAATAAATATTGATCATTTTTTGTAAATTTTTAAGTATGATCCAATATATTTCATATTTTTAAATCACTATAAACTGAGTTTTTTACATTTTATTTTAATAATTATTGACTTTATATTATACAAAAAAATCAATCACTAACTATTATATATAAGATAAACAATGACAAAAGTAAGAAAATAAATAAGAGCCTAAATATATATATATATACATATTTTGACCAAGCCAAATAGATAATGATCACACTTATTATTGTTATTATTATTATTATTATTTTTAAACAATATATAGATGGACACACACAAACAAACAAACAAAATGGTTGAGTGATAGTAGCTGAATAAAATAGCATAGGTTTTATAGCTTCAACAAATCAATAACATGTTCTTCATCTTCCCTCTTCTCTCTATCTCTATCTCTTGCTCCTTCATCTTCTTTCTTTATCTTCCCTCTTCTCTCTATCCCTCTTCCCCCATTTTCAGCCTTTTTTTTTTGTGTTTTTTTTTTTTTTCGAAAGAAGCAGCTCGGAACCGTTACATAATGGTGCGTAACAGGCCGTTGCGGCTGTTATGACACCGTTACGATTGTTACGGCAACCGCTTCGGCCGACACACCTATGAATCTTAATCACACTGCAAAAGTAGTCGTAACGGGTGGCGATAACCACTACAACCGTTGCGTAACGGCGTTACGTAATGGTTGCGGCCCCTTTTTAAAACCTTGATTTTATGTATACATGGCTTCTAGTTAACATAAGATAATACGCCGAAAGTTAAGTTGATAATTAGACCAGCGGCTCCTTGTACAATGTTCACAAAGGTAAAGGGAGAACGTAGGATTCCGGTGGGAGGGAAAACCTTGCAAGTGGCGATGGGGAGTTTTACATAGACAAAGCATTGCTGCGATGGGTGAAAGAGAGGAACAAATGGAGCTGATAGGGTGAGATTCACTGACCCTCCACGGGTTGTGATGGCCTGTGCAAGGGTTGTTTGACCTCCGTTGCACGACAAGATCACGTTAACCCCAGCAATCCCTGGGCAGGTAGTACAGTTAGTTCCCAGGAGAGTGCAAACCACCCGACCTGCTACTGACAGTAACAGCTGTTGGTCCACGACCGGGATGCTGTGGGCTACGGATGCTGTTGTGGCAATAACAAAAAGGAGGGAAAGGATGAGCTTTGAAGGACAGAAGGCCATGCTTCTTGTTTTGTATTGTAAGAAGGGAAATGGTTGGTTTTGTTTTGAAGGACGGAATGTGTGTGTCTTGAAATGCATGGGAAAGGCCCTTATTTACAGTCTCTTTTCTACATCTACAGTCCACAGATCAAAGTAATGTTCATTTCTCCAAACCCAACGGTATAGCTTTAACTCTAGGTTAGGTTTGTTTTACTTTTTTTAAAAAAAAATATATGTGAAATGCATGATTGAATTCAAATTTTAAAATTAAAACATTTTATGAATCTAAAAAGACTAATAATTGAGAGAGTTGAAAAAAAAAATTAAAAAATTGAATTCATAATTGCCTATATAACTGGCAAGAAAAAAAGAAAAAGAAAAAAAAAAGAAACTAAATATAACGTATAATCGCTATTAGAATATTTTGAGAAAACAAAAAAAATGAGACATAAATACTAACGAGGTTAGAAGGAGGAGACAATTGTGGGATTCTCTGGTGAATATCCACCAACATTTTCCAAACCCGTGGTGTGTGAGAGGGGATTTCAATGAGATTAGACACATAGGTGAAAGGAGAGGTTGCTCCTCTAGAGAAAGGGGGATGAAGGACTTTAATGAGTTTGTGGAAAAATTGGAATTGACAGATATGCCTTTGTTAGGTAGGAAGTATACTTGGTGCAATGCTCTGGATGGGAATAGGTGGAGTAGGATTGATAGATTCCTGTTGGACTTGAAGTGGATGGAAAAGTTTTCTTTTAAACAATGGGGTCTACCTAGGTCAATATCAGACCACTGTCGTATCTTGATTAAGGAAGATGATAGGGATTGGGGTCCAAAGCCTTTTAAATTTATCAATGGATGGTTATCTCATCCGTCCTTCATGTCAGAAGTCAAAAAGAGGTGGGAGGAAGCTCAAGTTCAAGGGTGGGCTGGGTTTAGAGTGATGAGAAAATTGAGCATGCTTAGGAGTCACTTAAGGGTGTGGAATAAGGAGGTGTTTGGCAATATAGACACTCAGTTGAAGGTAGCAGAGGAGGAGCTACATGAATGGGATTTGAAGGCAGAGTCTAGGTCCCTTGATGATCAGGATCTCAAGAGAAGAAGAGAAGAAGAGAAGTTAGAAGTCAGGTGTGGCAGCTTAGTAAGAGCAAGGAAAGGTTATGGCATCAAAAGTCCAGACAGTTATGGGCTCATTCTGGGGATAAAAACACTAGGTACTTTCATATAATGGCAAGTAGAAGGCAGAGAAAAAATCTGTTAGACTCTGTTGTTGTGGAGGGTACGAGGGTGGAGGATCCAGCTCAGGTGAAACAAGAAGTGGTTAGGAATTTCAGAGAGCTGTACTCTGAAAATTGGAAGTTTAGGCCAAAAATTCTTGGCCCTTTTGCTGTTATAAGTACTGTGGATGTCAGTGACTTGGAAATTGAGTTCTTAGAAGATGAGGTATGGAGTGCGGTACAGGATTGTGATGGGAACAAAGTGCCAGGCCCTGATGGATTTAATCTGACTTGCATTCAATGGTGTTGGCCTATATTGAAAGGGGAGATCCTACAAATGGTGACTGAATTTCACCAAAATGGTAAGCTATCAAGAGGGGTCAATAGTTCTTTCATTACTCTCATTCCGAAGAAGGATAATCCAGTAGGATTGGGGGATTATAGACCCATAAGCTTGGTGAGCTCTATCTATAAAATTTTAGCAAAGGTGCTTTCCAGAAGACTTAAGAGAGTTTTGCCATTTGTGATTAGTGAGGTACAGTATGCGTTTGTGAGTGGAAGGTTCATTTTAGATGGTGTGTTAATAACCAATGAGGTTGTAGACGCATGGAAGAGATCAAGAAAGAAAGGTGTTATTTTAAAATTGGACTTCGAAAAAGCTTATGACTCAATTAATTGGGAATTTCTGTGGTCGATGTTGATCAATTTTGGTTTTGGTGAGAAATGGTTAGGTTGGGTGAGGATTTGTGTTTCTACAGCCAAGGTGTCTGTTTTGGTTAATGGCTCACCTACAGACGAATTTCAGCCACAGAGGGGGCTTCGGCAGGGTGATCCCATTTCACCATTTCTATTTATAATTGTAGCTGAAGCTCTTAATCTATTATTAGTAAGGGCAGTGGAGAAGGGCCTGTTTAGAGGAGCCTCAGTTGGTGGTAATGATCTGCGTACTTCACATCTCCAATTTGCAGATGACACAATAGTGTTTTGTGAAGGTGATATGGAGGAGGTGATAAATATTAAAAGGGTGTTGAGGTGTTTTGAAGTGATGTCTGGTTTGAAAATTAATTATCACAAGAGTGTAGTGTGCGGTGTGGGTTTTCAAGAGGAGGAAATTTTGGGTTTGGCTCAAAGACTGAATTGTATTTCTAATAAATTACCTTTCAACTTTTTAGGTATGCCTCTAGGAGCCAATCCCAAGAGGAAGAGCACTTGGAGTCCAATAGTGGATAAGGTCAGTAAGAAGTTGTCTTCTTGGAAAAGAAAGATACTATCTTTTGTAGGGCGTTTGACCTTGATTAAATCTGTTCTCTCCAATCTACCTATATACTTTCTCTCCCTTTTCAAAATGCCCAAAGGGATTGTCAAGGCTTTGGTTAAAATTCAGTCTAATTTTCTGTGAGGTGGATCTGATGCAAAGAGGAGTGCTCATTTGGTAAATTGGGGTGAGGTTACAAAAAGAAAAAATCAAGGGGGTTTGGGAGTAAGAGATTTGGGTGAGGTAAATGAGTGTATGTTGCTAAAATGGTAGTGGAGATATGGGGCAGAGGATAAAGCTTTGTGGAAATTGGTGGTATGCTCAAGATATGGTAGAATGGGAGGGGGTTAGGTGCCATCTATGGAAAGCACAGATGGGGTGTCCACTGTGTGGAAGGATATAGTGCAGCTGAAGTCAATAAATCAGTCTCTGGGTGAATTCTATGAACAAAATCTAAAGTTATCAGTGGGTAATGAAAGGAGGATTCAGTTTTAGTCAAATGGTTGGCTCAATGGTAGAAGTTTGAAGGAGGAGTACCCTAGATTATATAGTCTATCCACTGAGAAGAAAGAATCCTTATTGCAAATGAGTGCTAAGAAGAGTCTTGGGGTGTGGCAATTTCAATTTAGAAGAAGTCTGCTGGCTTGGGAGGAAGAGGAAGTGATGAGGCTGTCCAGATTTCTGGAATCATCACCAGCACTTAGGGAGGAAATAGAAGACTCTTGTTCCTAGCTTGTAGCTAATTCAGGGAAGTTTTCGATATCCTCAGTATGGTGCTGGTGGGCTGAAGTTAAAGAACGAGGCTTGAGGGTGCCAGATGGGGTGTGGGCATGCATGACACCTCCAAAGATGCAATTCTTCTACTGGTTGGCTTGGAGAGGCAGAGTGAAGACTTCTTCCTTTCTCCGCAGGATTGGGTCTTACCTGGCAGTGTAGTGTCCCAATGTGTGTTCTGTCATAGTGAGGAGGAGTCATTGGAGCATGTGCTTTTGTTCTGTCCTCTGGTTTGGGAATGCTGGGCAGCAATGGCCAGTTTGTGGGATCAGTCTTGGGTAATTCCAAGCTCAGTAGAGGGTTTGCTAAAGTGGTGGTCTGAGGGTAAAGGGAAGTCTTGGATCTTTAGAGCTTGGCAGGCTATTCCTTCTCTCGTGTTGTGGTCGGTTTGGAAGTTAAGAAGCGAATGTTTGTTTAAGGGTGCTGTCCCAGATTTTGGAGGATTATGCGAGAGAATGAAACTTCAAATAGCAATGTGGGTAAAATGGTTTTTCAAGGTAGATTATTCAGTACACGATATGGTATCCAATTTGCACCAGATCAGATTGCATGCTTGAAGTCTTCGCAGCAGTTCGATCGGGATTTAAAGTGGGAGCAGGCTGGGTTGATAAGATGTTGGATGTTTGCTGTTGGTTCTGTGTTCCTACAGATCTGGTGTTGGTGGATAAGTCTACTGCTGTGAGTTGTTCTGTTTTGCTTAGCAGCTAGTCTGTATTTTGTTGCTCTGCTGAGGCTACTGTTGGCAATTTTTTGTTTTTGTTTTCTTTCCTTCCGTGTTGGTTTCGCACCAACTGGAGCTTCGAGCTTCTTTTAGCTCATAGCCCCTCTTTATTGATGTACTATCTCACTTTGTTTGGTTTCATCAATAAAGATTTATTTTGCCAATCAAAAAAAATACTAACTCTAGACTTCTATTTATAATAGCATAGATTTTTTATTTATTTTTTTTTTGTTTTATTCGTTTTTTTTATTTTTTTTGTTTGTTTTTTTGTTTTTTTTGTAGAATATTAATTTGTTAGTAAAGTTCGCTTGTGTTCTATTACAGTTTGAACCATTGACATTTTCTTTATCACACTCTAAGGTGTGGGTATAAGACCACTGGGCCAAACCTAGGGTCTTCCTAATTATTTTTAATTATTTTTTTATCAACAAAAGTTTTTTTTACTAATGTAATAAGAATGGTACATGTCAATGTTACATCAATAAACTGCTAAAGGAAATTGCATCATGACCAAATCAAACACATTCTAATTAAGTTGCCACTCGAAATCCAACAAAATCATATGCACTACAACTATCTCTCCTACTTTTGTCGGACCGTTGGGGAGAAGGTCCCTATTGTGCCCATAAGCTGCTATTGTGACGGTTTTAGTGGGTTCATCCACAGTGTATTTTTATGATAAGAATAATTTATCTTTTTAAAATTGTTGAACATATCATTAATAAAAAAAAATCAAATTATTTGAATATCCATAGTTATATAACCAGATCATTTTTGTTTCTAAAAAAGAATGGCAATCATGAATTTGAGCTATGGAGGTGGGATTATTCGGGACTGTTTGGGCCAATGAGTAGTAGGGTTCAAGTGAAATATAAGATCAGTTTCAACTATGGAGGTAGAACTCTGGGCCCTTAATGGCATGTTTGGTTGGGGGATTCGGAAAAGAATTTGGAAAGGGAAATGGAAAATAGGTGAAATGTGAATAAAACATGCTTATATTTCACATAGTTTCACACACCTGTTCCATTTCCCTTTCCAAATCCCTCTCCAAATC